GAACGTGTGACTTGAGCAGCTGTTTCTGCGCATTTGACATCCAGCACCTTGTGTTTTTATCGACAATTGCATGCCGTGTGCAGCCTTTCATAGTGAAGACTGTACTTTTCTGTACTACTGTGCCATATTAAGAGGTGTACCCTAAGATCATATTCTATGAAGGTAAAATGTCTGTATAGAAATAAAGATGTTACTGACTCCCACTCAGATTCCTCAATTCTTTGGGTTTGGGAGCTTCTATGAATTAAATTCAGCCAGTTGTCTAATGAATGGAATTAGATCTTCCAGAGAAAATAAATAGTTATGGCTTTTTAACTGTTTGCCCAATGTTTATCTTGTTAATTGCTTGTCCAAGCTTGTTGTAGGAACTTGAGATGCAGCAGGGCAGTATAAATGCCTACAGATTATATAGTTCAGGAGGCAGTATTTCAAACCTTCAGTTTCACAGTTAGTTCTTTTCATTGGAAATAATCTGAGAAAATATGAAAAAAACAGGAATTTTTTAAAAGGGTGTTTAGGTCAAAGCAGTGCAAACATGTCAAAACTGATACTAGACCAGTACAATCTCCAGTCTTTACATGAGCCAAATAGAAAGATGGCTAACATATCCTTCAAAACAGCTTTTCAGACATCTCTCTGTATCTTCTTTAAAAAAACTACCGTTACCTACTTTTCCTGAACTATTTTAAACACAAAGGTATGAATAAGTTATGTCAGTAGCTAGCTTATCACTCTGCTTATAGGCTTTGGTTTCTTCTTTTTATCAGTATAATCCATGAGCAAACTGTAAGACTGGGTTTATTTGCTACAGTAGGTTTAAAACTCAAACTAACCCTTACTTTATTGGATTCAGACTTTGAAAATGTTAACCTAGAACAAGAAAGATGTTAACATTCATGAGTGCTAACATTTTCTAGCTCCATGCAATTTACTTCTAAGTGTGATACAGGACAAATGGTAGTTCAAAGTGCATGCAAGTGCTTAGTCCTAACCTAGTGAATATTTTAAAATGCATTTGGTCACTTCAGTCTATATGTTAACATGCTATTTGGAATACTGATGTACCAGTAATAAAGATGTGATGCTTATCTTGTTTTGTGAACAGAACTAATACAGTATTTTGATGTATCACAGGTAAATTTTTCCATAACCTTATGGAGAAAAAGGACTTTGAAGCATGGCTTGATAACATTTCTATTACATTTCTTTCTCTGACGGACTTGCAGAAAAATGAAACTCTGGATCACCTGATTAGCTTGAGTGGAGCAGTCCAGCTCAGGCACCTCTCCAATAATCTAGAGATTCTTCTCAAGAGGGACTTCCTCAAACTTCTTCCATTGGAACTTAGTTTTTATCTGTTAAAATGGCTTGATCCTCAGACCTTACTCACATGTTGCCTCGTCTCTAAGCAGTGGAATAAGGTTATAAGTGCCTGTACAGAGGTGTGGCAGACTGCATGTAAGAATTTGGGTTGGCAAATAGATGACTCTGTTCAGGATCCTCTACATTGGAAGAAGGTTTACCTAAAGGCTATTTTAAGGATGAAGCAACTGAAGGACCACGAAGCCTTTGAGACATCCTCTTTAATTGGACACAGTGCCAGAGTATATGCACTTTACTATAAAGATGGACTTCTGTGTACAGGTAGGAAGGACAAAAAACTTAGAGTCTTACAATTCTTGGTTTTCTTCCCCCGCCCCTCCATATGATTAATGACAATTTGCTTTTCCTTCACCAGACAAGTTATTTTCATAGTGCTAACACAGTTTAAGGTGATTCAAAATTACTTTTTTTTTTCCAATTTCTTAAACACTTGTCACACTAATAAACTCATTAGTCACTTTAACAGGAAAACAAGGAGACCAATTTCTGTTGAAAAAAACAGTAACAGCAGGTATCACAGTTCAGATTAGTAAGCCCATTTCAGAAGTACAGATATGACAGTTATCCTCTTAAAGGATAACTTCCCGTTAAAGGAACCTTTTTTGGGCTGTGTGATCTGCAGTCTCCCAAGGTGTGGCAGGAAATGTCTGCCTTTTTCCATGAAACAAGACAATTTCTCTGTACAGTCTGTAAGCACTTTCAATTCTTAACATAAGTGCTTGTATGAAGACCTGTAAACTAGTTTTAGCCTTGCTACTAGTCTGACTTGTGCATTGTAATGATAATTTCAGCTTCCTCCCTGAAGACTGAAGACTTCAAGATTTCAGTTTGAACCTAAAAATACAGGTAGAACAAATACGAAACCTTAAGTATGAAAGAATAGTAACCAAGTTACAATGAACTGCTGTCAGAGCATATTCTAAGGATTTCCCAAGCACGTGAGATTACAATGCTATAGAATAAGTTGGGAATACTGGCTAAGTACTCCATTTGTTGGCACATTAAGATCATTACTAGAAACCAACAACTGGACTCTAGCCAGTCTTTGACTTCTCTACTCAGCAGGGAATGTAAATACACTGGAAACAGCATTGTCAAAACTTTCTGAAAAATGGTACACTTTTGTGCTGAAACCACCAGGAAAAACAACAGGTGTAAGGGTCCTGTGTTTTATTCTGCTCTCCAAAGCCAGCAGACTGGATTTACTGTTATGAATTTTAAAAAGAAAAAAAATAAACTTTGGGGAGAGAAAGGAATCTGGCAGATGGTGGGTGATGGAGCCTGGTATTCATCTGCTGTCTTTCAAGATTTGGTGGACACCTTTCCTACCTGAAACAAACTAAAGCTTGCACTCTAGTCACTGGCTCTGCAAAGCTGAGAGTGATGTATCGTGTATCCATGCTTCTGTTTCACTAGACACTGTCAGTCAGAGCCAGTGCTGGAATCTATGGAAGGTGCTGAAAGGGTATGAGGAAACTGGAAGGTCAGGCACCTGGTAGCTTAATTAACATGAAAACAAGTGGCTTTGCTGTAGTGCCGAGCCTTAAAACTAGGGCTTATTCTCCATTCAAGCAGGTCAAAAGTAGTATTTAATGAGAAGTTCAGCAAGGGGAAATGCAAAGCCCTGCACCTGAGGAGGAACAACTCCATGGCACTAGTATATGTTTGGGGCCACCCAACTGGAAAGCAGCTTGGCAGAAAAGGACTCAGGGTCCTGGTGGACACTGAGTTCAATATGAGCCACCAACATGCCTTTGCTGCAAAAAAAAAGCTAACAGTATCCTGGGCTGCTTTAGGAGGAGTATTGCTAGCAGGTCGAGGGAGGTGCTCCTTCCCCTCCACTCAGCACTGGTAAGGCCACACCTGGAGTGCTGTGTCCAGTCCTGGGCTCCTTGGTACAAGAGAGACATGGACACGCTGGAGAGTCCAACAAAGGGCTATGAAGATGATGAAGGGACTGGAGTATCTCTCATATGAAGAAAGGCTGGGACTTCTTATCCTAAGGAAGAGAGGGCTCAGGGAGGATCTTATCAATGTACATAAATACCCGAAGTGAGGGTGCAAAGAAGATGGAGCCAGGCTCTTTTCAGTGGTGCCTGGTGACAGGACAAGAGGCAGTGGACACAAACTGAAACACAGGAGGTTCCCTCTAGAACACTTTTTTTACTGTGAGAGTGATTGAACACAGGTTGCCCGGTGCAACTGGCTCTAGAGTAGTGGGGCTGGAAGAGTTGACCTCCAGAGGTCCGTTTCAACCATAACCATTCTGTGATTTCGTGAAAATACTATGTTTAAGACAAACGTGGAAGACAAGTATAGGATTGGAAATATTATTTACTCTTTGCTTCCAGTTACCCTATTCTTTTATATTCTAGGATCAGATGACTTGTCTGCAAAACTGTGGGATGTAAGCACAGGTCAGTGCATATATGGTATCCAGACACACACTTGTGCTGCAGTGAAGTTTGATGAACAAAAGCTTGTAACAGGATCTTTTGATAACACAGTAGCCTGTTGGGAATGGAGCTCTGGGGCAAAGACACAGCATTTTAGAGGACATACTGGTGCAGGTATGTTGAACTTTTCAATTGTAATTTCGCTAGTCAAGTAACATACATCATCATCAAACAAATTAAGTTAGCTCTTTGCATGATAGCTTTTTTTTGTTTTTTTTTTAGGCTCTGTCCCAAGTCACCCTTTGGAGTCAGGGAGGGAAGCGCCCAGAACAGATCTAGATCTGTCTGCCCTTGAATAGTGCCAAGGCTTAACCATGTAGTGTTTTGCAGGTGCATGGAAATAAATACTAAATGCCATGGTTATTCAGTACTTCAAGCCTACCAAAAAGATGCAAACCCTAGGTAGCAGGGAGCACATGGCAATAGCAGTTCTTTATATCCCCAGACTGGAGATGGTCTTACAGCAAGGAGCACAATAGAACCTGGGAATCTGTATTTGCATTTACTCATAATTAACTTATCTGTTCTCTACTGCAAAATATCCTCACTTCAGCTGTAGGTCTGTTCCCCTGTGAGTAATGAGATAATATCAGATGTACGAATCCTGCTGGAATCGACTTACTAGAACTCTTAAAATAGGAACTAGCTTATGTAATCCAACCATAAAGGAACCATGGATGTATATGCTCTTGATTTGGACAAAAATCAGTAATTTTGCAATGTACGCTTAGGAATCCAGAGCAACAATTCACATATACAGTTCAAGAACAACTAAAGCTGTAGCAGCGTATGAATTTAGAGGCTATATGACCTAGTTAGTGTCTGACTTACAGAAAAACGTGTACATAGAGGTATAGGTATTCCTTATTTACCACCCTCTTTGCTTGTAGTTTTTAGTGTGGATTACAATGATGATCTCGATATTCTGGTCAGTGGCTCTGCAGACTTCACTGTGAAAGTATGGGCCTTATCAACAGGAACGTGCCTGAATACCCTTACTGGACACACAGAATGGGTCACTAAGGTGGGGATACTGATTTTTAATTAATCTTGCAAAACACTTACTTGCAGTAAGTTTCTAAGGTGTTCTAAATTTCTGTTTCCTAATCCTAACCCTGCACCTAGGTGTAGAATCTGAAGAATGTCAGGAAATACTACAAAATAACATTTCAGCAGAAAAAATACTTAAAGAAGCTATACTTAAACTTCTCAGACCATTGAAGATATTTCTATTCCAAAGCAGCTGGAATAATACTAGGAATCAGTGTTTGATTCAAAGACTGAATAAAAACAAGGGTTCTAAAAGACAGCTACTTTAAAAATTATGTAGAAAAACTAATGACCTTGATAACCAAAATCTGAGCATGAAAAGTGTTCTGAAGTCAAGAAACTGTATTTTTCTTCTGAGTGTTTTGGAACTTGGAAGAGGAGGGTTCCTTCTAGAGGTGAAGTACCTATGTTTGCTTATTAGTACAGTAAGTTGTCACTAGTAGGAGTGAGAAAAGTGTAAACTGTAGTTTCCCTTCAGTTGCTAAGCGTATTTGTATTGCCTTTATACAAGAGTACAGTTTGCAGGTTGTCAATTAAGTGAAAAATGCAAATGAAAGTCTGGTTATTTAACAGGCTCAGCATAAATCATTACATCCTTCAATTACAGGTAGTTTTGCAGAAGTGCAAAGTCAAATCTCTTATGCATAGTCCTGGGGATTATATTCTTCTAAGTGCGGATAAGTATGAAATCAAGGTACGTACCATATATCACACATACATCATTTTGGTACCCAGGGAAATAAAATGCTTGAGTGCTTTGCTGAAGTTTACAAATAATATCAGACTTTATTTTCTCCCATGTTCCCTGCCTGGAAAATTGCATACAGGACAACTCTTTGGAAGCTAACTTTTCCATGCTTTCCTTCATGTTTAGATTAATGCAAAAAAAGTAAGTGGTTTCAGTGCATGTCCAGTGTGCTAACTTGACAGCAATGCACTTAACTGCAAGTACTGTTACTCTTGGGGACTTTTGGGTTGCAGAGTGCTGTAAATAAGTTTGCGGCTATGGAGGCTTCGTAACTGAAACATGGTTACATTTCTGTCCAATTGGATGGTTGGCTTTTTGCCCTCCTTTAACGCACTGTTTCCACTGGGATTTTTAGGCTAGAAACAACACACACTGCAACAGTACTGTAAGACAAGTAACTTAGAGAATTGGTGTTCCAACCTAAAGGAAATAACTATTTCAGAAAAAAAAACATGCACACATTTACCCAATGCTTAAAGACTGTGAGGCTTGCTCTAGTTGTGTAATGGGTTATAATGTGAATGTTTTATGGTCTTAAACTGTGTTTTAATTGTAGATTTGGCCTATTGGAAGAGAAATAAACTGCAAGTGCTTAAAAACACTGTCTGTTTCTGAAGATCGCAGCATCTCCCTACAGCCCAGACTGCACTTTGATGGTAAATACATAGTGTGCAGTTCAGCACTAGGATTATACCAGTGGGACTTTGCCAGCTATGATATTCTCAGGTAAATCTTTCAGTTTAAGACTTAGTCTTCTTTAAGTAAGTAAGAAGTAGTACGTATTAGTTTTAATAACTTACTTTAGATGTAGGCCAAAATAATCCTGATAAAATTCTGTAAACATCTTACTTTACGCATATTGCCAGGTTTAACTCTTAATTTGTCATCTGTTAATATGAATCATTTGATTGCTGTTTTTGGTTTCTGGCCACAGGCTAGACCTCTTTCAGGTTTTCATTCCATAAACTGAAGAGTTTCGATATAGACTTAAATCAGACTGCATTGCTGTAGTTACGAATCTGAAACTGTGGTGACTAGAAGTTAATATGTTGCCATGGAGACAGCTCTGCAGAGAGCCAAGCAGCCATCTCTGGGAGTCCTTCAATGGGACAAGAAATTAAAAACACCCTTTTTCCTTATAGCACTCTTTATCGGAGAACGTAGTGATAGGATGAGGTTTAACATTTCTAAGCTAAAGAGGGTAGAGGGTGAGGCTCTGGAACAGGTTGTAGATGCCCCCTCCATGGAGGTGTTCAAGGCCAGGCTGGATGAGGCTTTGAGCAACCTGATCTAGTGGAAGGTGTCCCTGCCCATGGCAGGGGGTTGGAACTCAGTGATCGTTGGGGTCCCTTCCAGCCCAAACCATTCTACAATTCTATGAGCTGTCATTCTCAATAATGTTGTGGAACAACAGTGAAATCTATCAGACTGCAGTAAGGGATCAAACAGGATGGCATTGTGTTTCCATAAAAAGAATGAGGCTGTATCTGTTAGAAATGGTGGCATCAAAGATTGTAATGAAAGAAAAAATTTGCATTTTGGAACTGTTAGCAGACTCTGAATTGAAATGGCCTAAGTATTTGTAAAGTATCTACCGTAGGAAGATCTACTTCAAAAGAAGTACTTCTTATGAGTAAGAATAACTGAGTAATTTCACCTCTTAGTTTACCTTTCCACCTTTCAAAAGAGAAAGATGTTTTCTTACTGCTGAGAACAGATTTTCATCTCCATACATTTTTGTGCCTCAGTTCTGTGCTTTATGTAATGCTATCATCAAATGCTCTGTCAGTTGTGGAAAACTTACTCTCTTCAATTTCTGTTCCAAGTTTTATTTGTTAAGGCAAAAAATATCCTAAAGGTATAGGGGAGCTAACTAATACTTTTATTTCTCCCTAAGATTAAAATGCTTAACTTATGCTAAGCGTCAGTAAAACAGCATTCTGTTAAGGACCAATCTTGAATGATTTATCTTATCTTCTTATCACAAGAAGGCATTTCTGTGTTTTATTTCCAGCTGTTAAAAGAGTGGTCAAAAGAATAATAAGAGGTTTTACTTCTTAATTTAAAGATATTAAGGCATGAAATCCCTATGGAAATTTACTGTAAAACACAAGTACATTTGCTCTTTTGTGTGTATCTGGAAACAAGACTTTTTCTCTCCTTGTGCTATGCAGAATCCCTTTCAAACCCTAACCTTTTTCAGCAGGGTCTGTCCTGAATGCACAAAGCCAGAACTGAAACCACAGGCCTGACTGCAGCTAAGTGTTCAGTTGCTTAATTTGAAAAATTTGCATCCAGTTCTTTCTAAATCCTTTCAGATTGATGAGTTTAGACACTTATTTTCTATAGACACATAAGGATTTGTTTTAGTAATGCAGATTCATGACTACATCGTGACAGTGTTTCTAACAATGTTGTCTTGTCTTTTAGGGTTATCAAACCTCCTGACTTCTCAAATGTGTCCTTGCTGGGCTTTGGAGAGATATTTGCGCTACTGTTTGATAACAGATACCTGTATATAATGGACTTGAGGACAGAAAAACTTATAAGCCGCTGGCCTCTACCAGAATATAGAAAGTCAAAGAGAGGCTCAAGTTTTTTGGCTGGTGAAATGTCTTGGTTAAATGGACTAAATGGACAAAATGATATGGGCTTGGTTTTTGCCACCAGTATGCCAGACCATAGTATCCATTTGGTGTTATGGAAAGAACATGGCTGAAAAGCTCGCTTATGCAGAAGAACATACAGACTATCAGCAGTGTGTCCATAAAATAAGACTTTGCATGAACCAAAGTTGCACACCTAAGGGTATCATCATGCAGTGCACAATCATTTACTTTTATCTGGGCATTTGGGAATGGGTTGTTTTGGACATAATGCAATACAGCATGCTAACAGTATTCACCACAAAATTTTGTCTGTACTCATGTTTAAGCATACCTATTTCGGCTCTGAAGCATCGCTTCTAACATTTAAACCATTCAAATCCACCATCAAGTCTGAAATGAAGTAGTGCTTGACCTGACTTCTGACCTATTTTTTGTTGTTGAAACAGAACGTGAAGCTACTATTTTAGAACCATAGGCGTTTGTACATTTAACAGCAAACACTGGTTACAGTGCATGGCTGCTTAACTCAAATGAGAAGGTAGCAAACCCTTTATCTCTCCAGTGTCATTCTCTCCAAACTGTTTTTCCTTATGACAGCTTTAAATACTTAGCCTTTGAAATTGAAGAATTACTTTAACTAGGATCAGATGCTAATAGTAATTAGTTTAAGTTTGGGAACGCATCAATGTAAACTCTCCTCAGCAAGAATGAGCCAAGTTTTCATCTATTTGATAGAGCTTGCCATCACAATTAACCTTAGAGAACAGTATTCATCATATTTGCTGATGGTAGCTCAGAATGGCTTGATCAGTATTTTATAGTCCATAGTTCCTGTAGTTTTTGTGAGAATGCAACTTAGTTCACAGGTAGGTAGAAATACAATGAATGGGAAGATGATGTTCAGTCTCTCCAGCAAGAGTCATTCTCCTACATTAAATTATGTCTAGCAGCCATTCACTTTTTCCAAAAGTTGCAGTTAATATAATCATGCACTTAAAAGTAGTTGCTACATTGAGATTTGGAGAGCAGGGACAAATAATAGTGAGAATGCCACATCTCTGGGGGGGAAAAAATATCAAAAGTCCAAGGAAAAGCACAGGAGTAGAAAAAGGCCTTTTGCTTTGATCATCGTAGGAGACCTGATGTATACGTGAGTTAACTATTGAGTAGCAAATACCTGTCCACATACTTTTGTGGTATTTGACATGTACTTACAAGCTGTATCTATGACATCACATGCTTTAGAAACGCTTTAGGTTCGTTCCCTTCCTCCCTTACAATAAAATCTCCCCATAATGTCTATTTTTTTTTTTTACACAACTTGAAAACATGAGGTTTTCATGAAGATCAGCTCATGCCCTTGAAAAGATAAAACTGCCTAGCATTGCTATTGTTAGTATGACTTTTTTTTTTTTTCTTCCCACTATCCAAGTTTGAGTTAGGGACATGGTTTAGTGAGTTAGGTGGTGTGGGTTGACAGTTGGACTTGATGACCCTTGAGGTCTTTTTTCCAACCTTCCTGATTCTATGATTCAAGGAGACCTAATTTCATACTTAGTACTGAATGAAGGCCAAAGTTGCCAAATGGTCAACAGAAGGGTTCTTCAGGGGCTAGAACTGATTAACTACGTTATTCGTGACCTTTTTATGATGCAGAGTCTACTCTCAGCAAGTACACAAGGGAACAGGGATTACTATTCTGAGGGTCCTCAACAAACTGGACAAGGAGGCTGTCAGAAATCTCGTGAAGTGTAACCAAAGCAAACGTACCATCCGGCACCTGAGTCACAATCACCCCACACAACAGGCAGGCTGGAGCCAACTAGATGGAAAGCAGCTTTACAGGAAAGGACCTGGGAATGCTGTTGCACAGCAAATTGAACACGATTCGGCAATATGCCCTTGTGACAAGGCCAACTGTGTACTGAGCTGTACAAACAAGTACATAGCTAGGAGCTCAAGGGAAGGGATTCTTCATGGCATCTGCGCTCAAGGCCACACCTGAGTTAAACGCTGAGTTCCCCAGAACAAAACAGGCTGACATGCTGGAGCAAGTCCCATGAGAGGCCACAGAGATGGAGAGGGAGATGGAGCACAAGATGGGTGAGAAACTGAGAACCAAGTTCAGCCTTCCAGAGTGAATGGAGGGGAAAGGAA